AATATATCACACGTCGTAAAAATCACGTTCATAAAGTGTCAGTATCAACAGCTCACTACCAGAAATCCACGTATAATACATGCACGTTACTTTACAATGCATTGTCAGATGACATTAAACAATTGAAGTCGGAACCATTGCAGGGACTCGAATGGGGCATCGCCGACGCTGTGAACTGTTTGAAAAGTACTTCCATGTGTTGAAAATTTGTCATCCAAAACATTGTTCAAATAAGTTCTTACAGTCTCTTGTATTGGACATACCAATGAATCGTTGTAGCTAACAATGTTTTATTCCTGTTCAAAAATTTTCAACCCCCAGTGGCCTTGTATGATACCTCCATAGAGGATATGAACTGGTAATATTGCAATTTCAAAATTATAAACGCCGTAAAAATACTTGCAGGTACGAATGATGCCGAATGGTTAGAATTTAGTACAGCTATATTTTTCACGTTTTTTTGTTGGTAATATGCACAAAAATCCATATGTAAGCTACTCTTCAGCGTTATTCTCTAATATGATAATTCTCAATTAGTTCCGAAAATTCTACATCTTCTACAACTACATTTTATTCTTCCCCGGATTTGCGTAACATATTTTTGTCCCTAATTTTTGAAGAGATTAAAATGCCTCAAAGGCTGTCTAATTGTATTTACTTCTACTTCTGCAATTGCTGTATTTATCGTTTTGTATGCGAATTTATATAAACATTAAATGGCTACCCATCAACGCACTTCGCTTCCATCAATATTATCTGTAGTAAAGAAACTAATCGAGTATAAACGATATATTCGTAATCACTGGTTGAAACATCGAACTCCTCTCTTAAAATCCTATTTAAACCTCCTAATTAAAATTACGAAACAACTTTTGGCGTCCATCCACGCGCAAAAGATTCAACTTCAAACACAATCGGCAAACCCATATGATCATTCACTGTGGAATATAACCCGACGTCTTTTGCGCAAACCCACCAACCTACCCACTCTTGTTACTCCAACTGGAGAAGCATCTTCTCCCTCCGATAAATGCGATATGTTGGGTAATTATTTTGCATCAACCTTCACTTCTTACCCTTCTCAAAATTGGCACCACGATAGTCTTATTGAAAATAAAATTACACGACCGTAAATAACGGGTCCTGAATGCCCTAAATTTATTTCACCATCAGAAATCATCACGTATCTTTCACTAGCAGCCCCAATATTATCAAATAGCCATGATCTAATATCAACTTTTTTTTATTAAAACGCCTTCCCATAAAAGTAATCGTACATAATACAGCAATATTCAATGCCGCTTTGAGACTATCGTACTTCCCTGATAAATGGAAACACGCCCTTATTATTCCCATTCTAAAGCCAGGGAAATCTCAAAATCATCCAATTAGCTATCGCCCTATTAGTTTGCTACCCACAATGGGAAAGCTATTTGAAAAATGTATACTCTCTAGGATAAATTCATATCTCAGCGCCCTCAAAGCCGTACAACCTCATCAGTTTGGATTCCAACCCCATTTGTCTACGTATCATCAAATATTACGCCTAACTGAAGATATCATCGAAGGATTTCATGACCATAAGCATACCGCAGCAGTTTTTCTAGATGTAGCTAAAGCTTTCGGTACTGTCTGGCACCAAGGGTTAATTTTCAAACTTCGCAGTGTAGGTACTCCACAATATCTTTCATGCATCATTGAAAGTTTTCTTTCCAACCGAACAACTTCTGTGCGTCACCCCGGGGCTCTCTCCACACCTTTCACCATCAAAGCAGGAGTATCTCAAGGATCAACCCTCTCCCCCACTTTATTTAGTGTCTACACTTCTGATATACCAATCACTCAAAATACTGCAATAGCTCTATTTACTGAAGATACAGTACTTTACTCCTCAAACAGCAATCTTCAATCTGCCATGAATGATCTGCAGCATCACTTCACATTATTTTCCAATTGGGCAAAAAAATGGCACATTGAAATAAATCCTAATAAGATCCAGGTATAAATATTTACCCTTCGCAGACCAGATGTCCCTCCAAATCTCACATTCCAATCCCAAAATATCACCTGGCTCCCTACCATCAAAAGTGTCAAATATCTAGGAGTTGTGTTCGATAAAAGGCTTACATGGCAAAATATAAAACGCCGAATAGCGCTAGCGAATAGTAGAGTCCCTCAATTATATCCGGTTCTCAAAAAATCATCCCCCCTACAACTACATGTTGATATTCGCCTATATAAAGCAATGATACGACCCATGCTTTCCTATGCTTCTCCTGTCTGGGATGCCGCAGCCAAAACGAACATCAACAAAATCCAAATTTTCCAAAATTGATTCCTACGCACCATCACAAAAGCTTCCTGGTACATTCTGAATGCACAGTTACATAATGAACTTGGCATTACACCAATCTCCATCCATTTCTCCCTCTTATCCGCAAAATTATATTCCAAAATATCAAAGATCCCTTCAGCTATTCACTTTCACATAAGTATGCAAAATCCTCATCGCAAACGATTAAAAAGAAAGCTACCAAGATAATTTTTCGATCCCCCATAAATACAAACCGACGAGTCTTTTCCCATTATAAACTACTGTATTAAATTACTGTACTGTCATATATCTAAAACTAATTACTGTTATTCTGTTCTCAAATTATTCTTGTATATAAATATTATTAATGTATGTATCGTATGCGGCTGCAGAGGGCCAATGGCCAAGCAAGAATAAATTTTAAAAAAGTCTACCATTTTGTAGTTAATGTAAGGTGTTATTACGTTTTAATAAGAATAAGTTGTTAATCACATTCATTTGGAAATCGGTATTTGCACACTTAAGACTGTAAATGGAAGAAGTTGAACGTAAAGGCGGTGTCACACATACAGTATTCGGCGAATCCCGAGTAGTGGAGACAGGTTGCTTGCTATTCGTTGGGCGCCAAATATTCGGTATTCGCCCACCGCGTATCTACACATCGCGGGTCAGTCTTTAGGACACACAAAGGGAGCGAACATTCGCCGAACACATCAGCTGTTGGGGATTGCGCGAGCGGTACCTCGCTACTCGGCGAATTCTGAATGTGTGGAGCCATCTTAAGAATGTAAAGGTGCGTCTGTAGCATTATTCAGTTTAGTTTTGTCGGTATTTACGTGAAGTTAAAGTTCAATAAGTTCCAAGCAATAATGTTCGTAGGTTTTTGCATATGTATTTTTAAAAATACGTTAATATGGATGCAAATTAAACGAAATATGCCGCGCGGCTATTCCCTTGTTTCATTCAATGTAACCTACATAGATCTATTTGGGTGGCAAGTTTTTGCAATTTTTTAGAATCTTCGGGACAAATCCAAAAACAAATTATCAGTTCCACTCCGGGAGACCGAGACGCATCGAATGACACCTGATTCGTTTAGATTGGTGCGAGCGAAGTGTTCTAACAGTGAGTGACGGATCCGCACACACGCAGTCACGCACACTCACAGTTACGCAAATACTGTATAGAGGTTATTTTTTCTCAAAATACAGAAAAAAGTAAATCTTTTATAATATAAATCTGAAGATCTGCGAAATGAAATATATATGTATTAAATTTGCCCCAACAGGGACAGTTTCCCTCCTTAATCCCGCTTCTGATGTATATCCTCCTTACATACATACAAACAAACAAACATGTCATTGCAAGATGTCAACTACAAGAATGTATATCAGTGGCGAAGCATTGCATTTTTACATAGTTATTGCAAGATGATTCGAATATCTTTCTGCATCTGGAAGATGGGGTACTATTCGAAATATTTTTCGTACGATGTTTCATCTTTTAAATACTTAAACATTTTTATGGTATTATTTCTCCACGTTCATGGTAATAAATATTTTGGACTCCTTAAGTCTATATTACAATTGCAGAAGAATAATTCGGTTCTTGTTCCTGTGACCACGCACGTAAGATGGGAGTTTATGTTTGAGGTGGGGTAGGGGAGTACTAAAATTATTTGGATTACGATCAATATGACAGGAATTATTCTGACTGCTTGTCAACTTTAGCTCATTTTGTAAGGGTTTGTTAATTTATAAAATTCAGCAGAAACCCTAACATTTTTACTGGCGTTTTTTGTTGGCCTAGCATTTCATTTTCAAAAGAGCATTGACGTTCACTTCCACGGAGCCATTTGTTTACCTCATATCCAGACACTATAAACTGACTACTGTAAATTGTATTGCTTGTAGTAAATGTTAGATTCGAATGTAATAAAGAAGGGCTGGGTTGGCCTTTCTGAACCGACAAAAGCATCTTCGAATATGTGAGCCTTTTTTTCTCTTAACGGAACTATGATATCTTCTTACAGGTTTCCTTAATAGAACACTGATAACACAATTACAATTCGGTAAAAGCTCTCAAATATCAGGGCGCATTCATCACACTGTTTCACTCACAAATATACACTCCAGAGTTCGAATGGCGGTAACGGCAGCCATGGCTGGAAACCGCCGAACAGCGGAGATTCTCTGAACGCATAGATGATTAACAGCGCTAATCGCCGTGCAGAAGGATACGAACCGCTGCAGTCAGTTGTCTCTGAGAGCGGGCACCGGGCTTTCAATTCAATGCATTAGTATTGGCGATTCTTTTGCAATCTCTTCATTGTTTTCTGATTATTTCTCGGCTAACCAACTTTTCATAACTAATATTGTTTAAATGTGATTATAAATTGATAAATACTACAGTTCTTTTCTTTTTTGGCTAAATAAATCAAAACATATTTGAAACGCGTTTCTATTATTTTTCTTGATCTTCGCCGCATCTATCGATAACTGGACGCTTCGCTACTGACTTACATGTGTTTGTAATATACACATATGTACTTATAATTCATGAATAAATAGATCTTGCCTACTGAAAATGAGATACAAAGTCTAAAGAGAACGTTTAGAGAGTTTAATATTTTTCTTTCATTTCCATTGTTTGCTCATAATCATTATTTTATTTCATTTCATTTCAGTGGATTAGACAGTTCATCGTGCACCCAGTGTGTGTCTCTTCTACAAGTGTTGGCACGTCAAGGTCGTACCATAGTATGCACAATTCATCAGCCAAGTGCATCACTCTTCCAATTATTTGATCAAGTCTATGTACTGTCTCAAGGAGAATGTTTATACCAAGGAGCCACAGACAAGTTGGTTCCATTTTTAGAAAGTATCGACCTACCCTGCCCAATGTATCACAATCCCGCTGACTACGGTAAGTATAAGTTAATGTGCTGATATTAATTCACACATTTTTACTATTAACGGCAGATAATTTATTATAGAGTAAGACGTTTCACAATTGTGTATTCACAATCTATGCGCAAAAATAGAAATTTATTAAAATACAATAATTACATTAGTAAATAATTCTCTACACTACGTAAGTAGTAATAAAGTTCTCCGGGAAATATTTGCGACTTTTTCTGGGGCCTGATGTTGAACAAGTACATAAATCTTATTTATATATCATGTTATACAGTCAAAATTTCGCATTTTCACATCATGGCTTTATAAGTGTTCAAAATAGGGTCCTCTTGCGCGAACGCAAGATAGGCATCTGCTCCGCACGGCCTCTGTGACGCGCACAACTTTGCCGGAATGTACCTTTATTTCTGCGGCCACGCTTTCAATGCGCCGAAGGTCATCACGATCCTAGACTTCGGAAGTATAAGCGCGGTCGTTCATTAACCACAGCTCCAAAAGCGCTAGGAGTACCTGAGTTATAAAACTCAGATACTGAACTCGTCTTAAACGCTCGGGTAATAAATGAGGACCGATGATAAATTTATCCACAATGCCAACCGATACATTTTCCGAAAATTGTTCTTGATAAGCTTCACTAAGTGCAACATGAGGCTTTTCATCGGCCCTCACATGCAAATTGAGTCAGTTCTTGTAAAACACGCTCCAGCTGACCAAAGAACAAAATCCCTGGTTTTCTTTACCTTTGCGTTTGCGAAGGGAATGGCTAGAGAATTGAAAATGACCTTATACGTATCTTCTGCGCAAATGCTGCATCGGGTGGAAATGGAAAAGCCGTAATCTCTCCGCATGAATTTTTCCCTAAACGAGGAACTGTGATGCCTTGACATCGAGCGAATTTGCCTTGTGCTCATTACCGCGGCTTCTCGGATAATATTAGTAATTGAGTTTTTCAGAGAAGTGGCCAGCTCTAACGCGAGGTGAAACAACTCGCTCACTTGCCATAGCCCAAGTTACACGAGCACAAGCACTTAGACAAAAGTTTAACGTTAATTATTTACAAAACTAAATATAAACTGAATATAAAAGGTTTCTTGGTGCCGATGTTCTTGCATCAAAAACTAACTTATTTCACCAAGCAATTGACTTCAATTTTTCGAAACAGCTTTATATACAATATATATAACATGTAACACGTGTGGTCAGAATCCAGTTTCAATTGTGCTTGATACCGAAAAATTGGTTAACGGTAAAATAGGTGACAGTCCATCTGCCTGAGGTCAACGTCATATAAACCATTCAGACAGTTTTCTCCAAAACTGATATTCCTTGTTTGATCCAGCCGAGTTCGAGCCTCCGCGAATTTGAAACAAACATTTTTATTTGTGAGGATACATCTAAATTGTCTCAAAGACTCCAATTTGTTTCGAAAATTGAGATGTTCAAATTTTTTCAGCGACTTTGTACCACTACAATATTGAAGAGAGATTTTAAAAAATCTGTTCAGAAACAGATCTTTAAGTAGGATCATGTACAATTTTTCGAAAATGTAGTTTCCGCATAATGTTGTGTGAAACAGTCAATTTTTAAACACTTATTTTCTCAAGAAATGCTCAATTTTTTTCCTATAAAGTTTTTCTTGAGCAGAGTGAAGTACTTTTATAAAAAAATCACCCTTTCGGTGAACTATCTATATTTTCGAGAATGTCAAAAATGAACATGGCAAAATACAATATTGAAGATAGAGATAGTTTGTCACGGATGAAATCTGTTTAAGAAATAAGGTATTGAAATTTTTTTTTTAAACAAATAATTTCTGCTTGAAGTTAATTCAATTAATAATTGTTTTTCCTCAAAAAATGGCTCCAAATTTTTTCTTTAAATTTTTTCCCCAAACACTTTAAAATATGGTGCAGTTTCATTTTTGAACTATGTGTAAATTAAAAAAATGCAAAGTTACAAAAAAATTGAGAAAATGTGAAAAATACTGTTGTGGCACCACTACTTTTATTAAATCTGGAAATTTTAAACCTATTTAAAAACTTTATTTTATAAAAATTTTAATAAATAAATATTAAAGTATTAATTAGTATTATTTTGTATTGAATTAGATGGTACTTGCTTAGCTTTTACATTAAAAACATTGAGGTGAATCATAAAAATTCCTTTACTCTTAATTTTAGTACCAAAACAAGTTAACACTGTTCTTGTAACATTCTGTTCGACTCTAATTATATACTGAGTATATAATAGTATAGTAGTAATTTGTATTATGCAATATATGACTATACTATATTATATACTGTAATATTCTCTTCAACTCTAATATTATATACTAAGACAGTTTCTGTAATGAACTTTGTTTTATTAACAACCAATAATGACTAATTTGTTTTGTTTAGTTATTGAGCTGGCTTGTGGAGACTATGGGGATGATGAAATTGATAAAATGGTGCAAGGTTCAGAAAATGGTCGAAATTTACAGTGGTTTAAAAATCCTGAAAAACTAGCATACCATAAACCAAAACGAGGTACATATATTTAACTGTATAATGTAATGTTTATTATAATGTACATGTACATGTATGTCTTTACACAGGAGAAGCTAAATACATGAATAGACTAAACATTTTTATCCTATTAGAGAACCCTCAATAAATCAATTAAAATGATTTTATAAATACACAAAAATAATTATTAACTACTATGTCATCAACGTTAAAAAATAATTAATTCAGATTTCAAAAAATAAATGTTTCTGAAAAAAAATTGGTTAACAAAATTATAGACAAAATTATTTTACAAAACATACATGTATGTATATATTATGTATACTATGTTAATATGAAATTCGTAAATCAAAATGTTACACATTTATTTTCATATAGATTTTGGAAACGTATGTCCAATGTTTCAATATCATTGAAGATAGCTTAGTCGAGTCATACTTAAAGCCCCTGAAAATATTAATCCAGCCATGTCTATAGGTATTACTGTTAAAATGCAGAACACTGTGAACAAATGAAATGAGGCATTGAGAGCACAGGTGGATTAACAGCAACCTGCTGCAAGAGCAAGAGTTGCCTACTGTAATCATTGTAATGGCAGTTAGACCTCTTGTGCTCTCATTGGCTCATGTAAGTTTGATTCCTTTAATGCCCAAATAATGTGTATTAGCAATGTTCCTTTTTTAATGTATTTGAAGGTGTCCAGCACTTTCAAAATTATGTTCAATGATAAATAACTTTGTGTCTTTATGGGCAATTTCCTCTCTTTCTCTTTTTTTGCCAATTAAAAATAGTCAAATTAATACTATGCACAATTCTACTACAAACTGCAGCCTACTTTTTCTCATTTTCCCACAATAAGGAAGATAATAAGCTTACATATGCATGATTCAACTAATTCTCTCTGTGGACCTTTTAATAACTGTAATCCACTCAAATTAATTTTAATATTTTTCTCTCAATACTACAAAAATGCCTAACAAATTTTTCATAGAAATAGATCACAATGAATGCATTATCACAATTTTTTAATTTCAGCCCCGAGACCTGACACACCCAAATTACCACAGTCACTACAGGCAACTTCTCAGATGAATCAAGTGAGAGTTCTTCTTCGCAGAGGATTTTTAAAAACCAAGCGTGATGCAGTAAGTGTTTGAAAACTAACTTCTGAAAAAAGGGAAATGTTAAAAATCTTATAGTGGCATTGTTTTGAATTTGATTTGTTGTGGTGTATTGATTTATCTAAGTTTCCCTTCATCCATTGAAAAAATGATGAGACAATCCCTTGCATTACTTTTGAACACTAAATATATGCTTTCTCCCTCCTAAACATACTCAGTTTTTACTATTTTTAACATTAAATAAATTAATAAAATTGTGACACATTCTGATACAGAACATATTATATACATAGGAATGTTATACATAGTTTTTAATCTAGCAATATGCACTCGATTTGAATTTTTTCAGACTTTGACCCACATGCGAATATTGGTGAATATTTTGACAGGTATTATGTTAGGAGTTTTGTTCATCCAAGCTGGTAATGAAGGATCACGGGTATTAGACAATTACAATCTACTATTTGGAATACTTATGCATCACATGATGACAACAATGATGCTTACTATTCTTACATGTAAGTTTTGAATTATGAAATAACTATGCATATTCTTTAAAAAAGTTCAAATGTTAAGTTCGTTAAAGAATATTTTATTGCATGATTTGTGTGTTCAGAATATAATTTTGTTTGCTGGTGGTTTTCATAAGATTTAAAACACATAGATGAAATTTACCAGAATAACTTCAGCTTATGGGAATGTAAACTGAATGTTCTTATTTTCATTATAAACGGCTAAATGAAAATGAAGGAATATTAATGTTGCAACTGCAGACATGTCTCCTTGGTAATTTCATTTCTGAAAGATTCACATTCATACAAATACCTACTGTTATTTCCTCTTTGCTTTTTTGCAGTTCCTATGGAGATGAACATACTAAAAAAAGAGCATTTCAACCGTTGGTATTCTCTAAAGTCCTACTATATATCTATTACCATTGTGGATCTTCCTGTTGCAGTAAGTTTCATGATGAAATTGAAATATTTTATTTTTGTTTATTATTAGTATATGAGTTTCTTTTCTGTCTAGATCCTGGGTTGTATATTATTTTCATTTTTGGTATATTTCATGAGTGATCAGCCCGCTGATGCACAACGATTTTCAATGTTTTTTGCAATCAGCATGCTGGTAGTTTTTGTGGCACAAAGTTTTGGATTGATGATTGGTGCAGTTTTTGATGTTGTGGTAAGTATTAGTTAGAGACATTATAATAATATAAATATTTACTAATGGAAACTATCAATAATAAAATGCTTGTTATGAATAATTTTCAGAATGGAACATTTCTTGGGCCAACACTTTCAGTACCAATGATGATGTTTGCTGGTTTTGGTGTGAGTCTGCGAGATTTACCCGTTTATTTGAAATGGGGAAGTTATATTAGTTATTTACGATATGGTCTCGAAGGTTATGTAGGTGCTATTTATGGACTAGATCGACCCAATTTAGCATGCAAGCGAGGTTATTGCCATTACCGTTACCCTACAAAGTTTTTGAGAGAAATTGCAATGGAAGGTGATCAATTTTGGAATGATGTTCTTGCTCTAGTTGTTATATTGGTGTTGTTACGAATTGCAGCTTATGTTCTTTTGCGATGGAAACTTGTTGCTGTACGATGAGTGTGGAAAAAAAACGTTAAATAAAATGGTTGAATTTCAATAATATTTGTGAACAAAACCAAACAAACTGTTCACTAGAGACTCATCATATAATAACCTGGAGGAATATCCTCAAATGTAAGAGAAAGTAAAGTTTGATTCTCTCTCTCTTGGTAGTTCCAAGATAAAATGTGCACTTCATAAGTGAATAGGACAGGTCCTCTTGCATTTCTTAATAATTAATTATAAATAATGATAAATATACACATTACAATTCCACATTCAGTGTAGTGTTGGTATGGTGGTATATTATTAAGTTTGTTATTTTCAACTACTGACTATATAGTAGTTGAAGATGGGGAAAAAGTATGAGATCTATTAAGTTTTCAGTACTTTCAGAGATAAAATAAAGGGAATATGTTTGAAAAAGTAAAAGTCCTTTAAAAAGCACACACACAAACATGTCTTTTCAAATTTAAAAAATTTAGAAGACTGAAAGAAAAGTAAACATAGTGCTACTAGTAGTTGTGGTAGTAGTAATAATGTTGTGAAGGAAAAGAAAGAAAGAAAGAAAGAAAGAAAGGAAGAAAGAAAAAAGTGAGGTAATCAACATAAAACTCAATTGAAAATAGAACCACATGTTGCAGTGTTGAGTCAAAAGTTTTTCATGTACAATTTACATATATCCTTTAAAGTGAAAAAAAGACTGCTTTTTATTTATTTTGTACTATTTGTTGATATTACAATAATGGCAAAATATAACTGGAAGTTATATTGTATATATTCCTTACTTAAATTACAAATGTCACAAGAAGATTATATTTTATTTATTATAATGAAAAATAAAATTGAACAAATTGGACTTTGTGTTTGTTACATTAATTCTCTACATTTTCAAAACTTGAACTGTACTTCTATTTCCCATTTAAGTAATCTACCATTCACGTCTTTGCTTATATTGCTTCCATAACCTGGCTGCGTTATTCTCCATCCTTGAAATTGAATTTACTGTATTACTCTGCCATTTGAAACACAAACTGTCTACTAAACTTCTTGCAGAGACAAAATGGAAGGCTGAGGGCCATATGGAAGGTAATATCAAATGTTTGCCAAAACTCGGCATGAGACTATCTAATCCAAATCCCTTCAATACATTTTTCCTGAAAAACAAATTATCGTTATTATCATTATTATTGCTATTATTAATGCAATTCACAGCTCTTTAGCTGGTTGCTACTCCTTCAAGATTTGGGTTCTATCTAAGGACCTAGGAATCCTAGAAATACCTACACAGGATGTGAACAGTGCCTAGTCTTTTGCGGTTAGTATAAAAGTATTGTGTAGTGGTTTGAAGCCAATGACGTGCCTCTCCACAGGTGATAGTTCAACCCTGAAGAAATCAATCAACACCCTCTAAAACAAGCCTACACAGCATTTTGCACTTTGCCTGAACTCGAGAGTCGTGCGCGAGTCACTCGAGTGCAAATGCGGAGAAATTTGAATTGAGGCATTTTCTAGGAGTGGGGACGACCAATGAGAATGTGCAACTCAAATCATAGCGCGTAAATTGAAAGAGCAATCGAAGAGTCGTATTCAGTTCAAATAATATTGTCTTTAGTATTATATTGGAAATGTTTGTTATCGATACATGACTAGTGAAATATGAAACTACAACGAATTATTCACATTTCATTTGGACACTAAATATTATAATTGCTAGTAGGGCTAATAATGTAATTCTCTTTGCTACGATATAATCACAAATATACTGTTTTACTAAACACAAAATTACGATACTGCATTGTTATTGTTTGCTGATGACAGTAAGAAACTATTTTTTCATTAACTATGTTTAAGTGAATAAGACGCGTGACCGTGGCGGAGTTTGTGACCCGGTTCGGAGCCAAATGTAGCTGCCGACTCTCGTCAGGTCAGGGGAAGCTCTGGCCTGTTGGCCGCTACCTTCGGCGACAACCCGCGGCTCCCTCGCGACCGGGGCAAGGATCGCGCAGCTTCACGGACCCGATCCCGCACAGATTTGAAGTGAGCTCGAATCAGGGCGGGTTTATTTCAGGGTTGCTTGGCTAGAGAAATGCAAAGGGGATTGCCTTGTTTTAAAAAGACATCATGGAGTTCAGTTCAAGCACATTTATTAAATGAGAGAAGTCCGCTAGGCGCGCGGACGCCACAGTTCCACTGGTTGAGTTGCTGTTGCCAAGTTGCGCGACGGTCGGAAGGCGTTGCAAGGGGTCAACGCCCTTCCTCAACTGGAACGGGCTCGTGGGACGGCGCCGGTAGTCTGTGGCGATTGGGCCGTTCCGAGCGCGAAGGCACGCACCGGCGCCGTTTGTTTATATTGGCGCGGCCCCGCTAGCTACCGGAGTGAGTAGCTTCGCTTCCGCGTCCACAGTTCAATTCCCGGCGCGTTTTGGGGCGCACATGTCTGACGTCGCACAGGTCTTCGGTCTCGTCCGTGTCTTTCTCTCCCGAACACGTCCGCCTCCAGTCGCTCTCCGTATACTTCTGTCCCTTCGTCTACGGGTTCACATCTGCACACATCTTCCCTCTCGTCACGTGTTCAGACTAGTCAGTCTGATTGGATCTGTGTCGAGTGAAGTCGTAATTCGTCTGTTTGGTCACGTGCAGGGTGAATCCCGAATTTCTATACGTCTCAGCTTGTGTGTCCTGTTCTCAGCTTCCCCTGTTCGAATATCTTGTCATCTAGAATAAAGAGTGGTTTGTTAGTCACAGACGGGGAAGTCCCTTCTCGTATATAGTGTGTGTCAGAGTCGCTAGTGGTCGCTAGATCCCTTTAGCGTGGCGTCTGCTGTCTTGTGCGAATGTCTTGCTTGGGTGTTTCATCACAATATGAATCCAGTGAGCCGAGCGGAAAGCATTATAACGCATGAAACTAACTTTTCCCGATATTTAACTTGTTTAATTCAATTTGAGCTGATGCATATTTTTTCCTCGCCTATTTCGCAACTCGGGAGCAACTTATCCTTCAAACTGCATCCTACTTCACTATTCAACCGATCGTAACGGGGGCAACGAGAGATCGCCGCGACGCAGGAAATCGCTGGGACGAGCGAAGAAGCAATGCCGCGTCGCAGGCGGAGGGCAGAAGTGCGCGCATCCCGGAAAGCTGCTGTCGTCCGAAGCAGGTAGACATCGGCTTTTAGGACGAAACGCGTGTGCGGTAGAGATGTCACTAATTAGGACCGTCATAATTGAATTAATCGAGGAAACGGGTCGCGGTGGCGATCATATTAGAGCTAGGAAGTGTCTGATTCAGGGCCGGATTTAAGTAGTGCGGGGCCCCAAGCACAAAATTGTGTTGCCCCCCCCCCCCCGAAAAAATAGCTCCATCTTTATTAAATAAAAAATGTATTATAGTACAAGTACTTTCTGTACAGATACAAATGAAAACACAATTTTTTATAGAAATTTTTACTTGTGTTACATTTTTTTACATTAAATACATACATAACAAAAAAATTACATATTTAGTTATAAGTAAAGGAAATAAAGTACAGTTAATATTAGACTAATTTAACATGTAATAAATAATTTTTAAAAATGTTTTGAAATTGTACATTTTGTTACACAGTAGACTACTTGATAAACAATGATTTCACAGACAAAAAAATATAGTATGCGTATTTTTCCGAAACGCGGGGCCCCTGGTGAATGGGGGCCCCCAAGCAACTGCTTGTTTTGCTTGTAGGTAAATCCGGCCCTGGTCTGATTATCATAGCAGAGTGCGAAGGTGGGCCAGTTGATATTGTAGTTGATTCAGAGAGCGAAGTATCAGCAATTTCAAAAATTTTTAATTTTAAAATTAAAGAGCGAACCCGCAAATTTGCCCGAGTTTCCCCTTTTGAAAAATTGCGTCATTGGAGCTGATAGGAAGAAAAGACATCCCATTACAAAACAGAGCTAAGTTTAGGTGTTGTTTTTTTGGGTGAGCTAAAGGTTTGCGTAGATTTGAGAGAGAAGGGGCTTAGGTTCGAACCGTCGTTTTTAATGCCGTTCAGCGGCGAGAATAATGAATTAATCACTGATGATTTCAGGATTGACAGCTTAAATAGGGGCGAGATACAGGGAAGAATATATTGATACCCGATATATTGATCGCAACCACTGTCTGTCAGAAACCGAGAATGGTGCTTTACGAGACTTGTTGCTCAATAATTTTGAAATTTTTCTTCGGCCATTAAGGATTTTCTCTTTCGTATTCAATTAACCGATCACTCACCATTTAAATTTATAAATAATATCCTGTTCCATTTGCTTCGAGTGCAGAAGTAGATAAGACAATTTCACGATTGCAGAAGGTATTATTAAGAGGGCTTTTACGCTTTACATCAATCCCTTAATGATTGTGAAGAAGGATGGTGGTGTTCACATTTGTCTTGATGCTAAGAAGTTGAATCAGGCCACTATTCCTGATCACGATTTAGTCGTACCAATTGGCGTCACTTTAGGGAAATTCCATGGAGTTAATTATTTTTCAGCTATTGATTTCATTTCTTCATACTGGCAAATCGCAATTCATCACGATGACCAGAAACACAGGATTCTTGTATAATGGTTCAAGTTATGTTTGGTGTTGCACTCCTTTCGGACTCCGAAATTCGGGCTACTGAATTTATTAGGTGTCTGGATCACAAATTGCCGGATCACGAGAAGAAATGTGTAACGCGATGATTCAGTTATCATCTTGCAATCTTTCTCAGAGCATCTCGAGCCCTTCCGAGAAATTTTCAAACTTATGTTGGATTACAACATGCAACTAAACATCGAGAAATCCCAATTCTGCACACAGGAGATCCATTTCTAAGGTTACATTGTTTACACACAGGGAATTCGAATAAACCCGGGAAAAGAACGTTCTATTTAAGATTTTAGGCCACCGAGAAACATTAAGCAACTTAAGCGGTTTCTTAGGCACTTGTAATTATCAGGCACGATTCATTAAGAATTACGCCGATACCATCGCACTGCTGGTCGAACTCCTCAGAGAAAAGCAAGAAGTGGGAATGGAGCCGTCTTCACAACGACGCATTTATTTAATTTAAGGAGGCGCTTAAAGATGGCATTGAATTGGCACACCCTGATTTTAACCTGCCATTTTTTCTGGACGCCGATAGCAGCGCTTACGATCTAGGAGCCGTTTTATCACAACGGGACGAGACGGAAATGAGAGCGCTATTTATTTGGCGCGCAGGGTTTTATGTGCTAGTGAATTCAATTTTTCAGTTTCTGAAAAAAAACAACTTTGGCTATTTGTTGGGCCTTACAGAAATTACAGGGGTACCTGCAGTATCGCCACTTCACAATCATTACCGATCATCGCGCTCTCACGTTCTTAAATAAGTGCCACTGCACGAACGCTAAGATGGGCATTATGGTTACAGAAATTTGATTTCACGATTCAATATCGCAAAAGGACCGAGAACGTCTCCCCGGATTATTTGAGCCGGCTATCACAGAAAGAGAACGGTTGCGGAGACAGCAGGCAGAATTTTCAGATGAATGCCATTAAAATTAACGTCGAGTCCATCCCGGAGATGCGAACCTCAAATTTAAAATTACTACAAGAGCAGGACGAAATAATAGGCAGGGTTAAGAGATTTTTGAAAGGCGAATTAAGTGCTGACGACAGCTTATACACCAAGTTCCAGAGCAACGATACTGCTTTCAAGTCATCGGCTGATTTAATTTTATTCAAGACCTCGAGTGAGCCCGAACCACAAAACAGGATTTGGATTCCGACCACTATTACCAAGAAACTGACGCTTCATTTGCGTCAGAAGTACGGGCAATACGGCAGTAAGAAAATTATAGCCATCGCTCA